AGGATGATACTGAGGATGGTGATGATGATGCTGGTGCCGATGCTGATGCTGATGATGATGATGCTGATTATGATGATGATGGTGATGATGATGATGATGATGATGATGATGCTGATGATGATGATGATACTGCTGATGATGATGCCGATGTTGATGATGCTGATGCTGATGATGATGCTGATGATGCTGATGATGATAACGATGACGATGGTGATCACGATGTGATGATGATGCTGACGCTGATGAAGGTGATGCTGATTCTGATGAGGAGGAGGAGGAGGAGGATGATGATGCTGATGTTGAAGCTGATGATGATGTGATGATGATAATGATGATCATGATGATGATGATGATGATGATGATGATGATGATGATGATGATGGTGGTGCTGATGATGATGACGACGATGATCATGCGGCTGATTATGCTGGTTATGATGATGATGGTGACGATGATGACGATGAGGACAGAGGGAAGGAGGAGGAGGATGGAGGAACGCGGGGTGCTGTCTCTTCAAAACGAGGATCCAACACCACAGGATGGTTTGGGGAAACGTCGCTAGACACAGGATGGAGTTGACGCCTAACCCGCCGATGATGAAGCCGCTCAGCAGCCTGCAGGCGACGGCGGGGCGCTTGGATATGCTTCTGAGCCTTCGGCGGGCCAGGCTGGAGGTCAGCCCGCCTCGCGTCCTGCCGGCAGCGCAGCAGATTCAAGCCAGCCGAAGGACCTTGCTTCGGCTGCGCCAGCCTCGCGGAAGCGCCTATCCCTGTGCTCGAGCGCGCCCGCCTTCTGGCGGAAGCCAAATGGCAGCCCCCCGCCCCCCCCTCTCCCCTGCGAACGCCACCGCGCAAGCAGGGGGGTAGTTTTGAACCTCCTAGGGCCCCTCCGCGACTGCGTTGACGAAGCTTCTACACGGGTCGCCGCTACTGGTTGGGAACGTTCAGCCGCGGTTGTCACCGGACCCCAGACGGGGGGGGCCTCTGGGGGAATCGCCCTGATCGCCCGCAATTTGCTGGGTTCGTTCGAAGTCCGCGGCCCCCCCCCACCTCGTCGGGGGCGTTTTTGACGCAGCGCCCGACATCTTGAAGTCTAGTTTGTTCGCTCCCAAGCTTTCGGCCAACATTGTTGGCCCCGATGGTCCTGGGGCGCGTCTAGGAAGTGGCGGTGGTCTTCGGACGCTGGGCGATGATGCGGTCTCCCCAGGGCTCGCGAAGGCTATGTCCGATAGAAGTATAGACCGTGGGTTCGACATAAAGACGCAGTTTCCTGTCCAGTTATCTGGCCCCCCTCGGACTGCTGCGACGCGCGCAACGACGTTCGTGGAGATCCCAGAGACCGTTGCGGACATGCCCATCGGGCCCCCAAACATGTTCGCCAGTGCTGGTGAGGCACTAGATTGCACCAGACACGGGTTGGACCTGGATAGTAAGAGAGCGACGCGCCCAGACGTTCGACAACATGTAGACGAATTGCATCGTATCTGTGCAGACGTTGCCGAACATGAGTTCGCCTTGCCCCGTCACGCGCCTCTGTTCCGCGACGGCCTCCGAAGGAAGCCGCCAAAGCTGGTTTGGTCCAAGGTATTTGGTGGCGAGTGCCGCGGGCGAGAAATTCGCCGACCTGGTCCAGTTGGTTGCCGCTTGCTGCCCCGCCCCTTTCGAGGCCTTCGAGTCGCCCTGCAAGCGGGCGCGGGCTATGCTTGCAGCCAGCCTTTCATTCAAGCTATCTTCTCTCCTCGTCTTTCGAACAAGGACAATAGTCAGGATCGTTCGAAGCGCCTTTGAGGGATTCCGAATTTTATGGGAGTGCATGTTTTCGAAGCTTGGCGATGCGATGAATTGAGCGCTGGCCATGACGAGTACGCCGCGAGTACTCGTGCTGATGCCCAAAGTGCTTCGAAATCTTCGCTTTTACTTGGCATCGACGCTGGGGCTGTCGTGCTCATCATTGGGCGAGAGAGCAGAAGCCGCGGCGCCCCGCGACTGCGCTCTCTGCTGGCGGACAAGTGCTTTCGGGCCCTTGCTCGCCACTGACCTTAGAGCGATGACCCACGCGTTGGGGAAGTGCCTAAGAGGCCCCCGATTCGAGACCTACTGAGTACCAGAACACCTTGGGCCTGATGCGCCAGATCATATTCTTTGCGGCGCGTTGCCAGATCGCGCCGCTAGGCGTCTGCCCTCAGCCGCAACGGCCAGCCCCTCACGACGCAGAACCAGGAGAAACTAGTCGGCAGTTAAATCAACGCGGCACAAGCCCCCAAACCAGCGGGCTCGACCTCTCCGCCACAACCGACGCCCGCGTCCGCCGAGCCATCGCGAGGCTGTCACGCATAGGCCGCCTTCCTACGGGAACCTACGTGAGGGCCAGGTCAGCACGGGCGCTCGCGGCAAGTCTGTGCACCGCGGGCCCTGACGCCCAGGCGCCATGTGCCAGAGTGCGCAGCTTGCACATACGCAAATTACAATTCTTCGCCGCCGCGCGCCCCAAGGGTCGCGCATTGATGTCCCAATGGGTTATTTTCGCCATGACAGTGCAAGGACACGTCCTCGATCTCGGCGCCATCACTCAACACGACGCCCTCCTCGGCGCGCGCCGCCAGGTGCCACGAGACACCAATCCCAAGGCCGAGACCAAGGAAGGGCGCGACAACGCCCGGGGCTTCGAGGGCGGCGGCCTCTCGGGCAGGGCATGGCAAACTGCAGTCCAGCGGGGCTGGAAGTGGCCGCCCTGCTGGCGCGGTGCTTGAGTATTGGGCCCCCCTTTCGTGGCTGCATCTACCACGGGGCCTCCATACCCATGTGGTGCGGGCGCCCTAGCGCCGATCCTTCTTTCTCCGCACCTCCGCGCGCCCGACGCGACCGCGGAGCGGCGTCGGCGGCGCGGTAGGGTATCGGTGTTCATGCCGCGACGTCGTTGCAGCGGGCCAAGGCTTGACGGCCCGGCAATTGGCCAAGCACGCCCTCTCTTGGCCATGGTGCGCTACATCGTCTACTACGGCCCAGACCACCGCCTCAATTACTCGGCGAAGGTTCACGGCCTGGCCCAGTCAGCCCAGCGAACGGAGACCCTGGCCCTCTTCCATCTGGTCGCCACGGCCGAACGTCTTGCGCACATCTCCATGGACAACGAGGCGGTGGTCGATGGATTCGAAGCTCTCCTCTCCGACCACCACCACCACCACCGCCCCCCAGTGACGGGTTCTCAGGCCGTTCTCTGGCGGAGCATCCACCGCGCTGCGCAGGCCAAGCCATGCCTTTTCCGGGTCGAAAGGTCGAGAGCCACTGCAGAAAAGAAAGGAATTGCTATGCCCTCGTCTCGCCCACGGCCGAGGCCTTCAACCGACGCTGTCGCGAACTGGCCGCGGCAAGAGCACGCCTCCACCAGATGCCGCGGGACGTCACTGAGGTCGCCAAATGGCGTCACAATCTGCGCCTGTGCTCCAAAGCGCGGTGGTAGCCATCTACGACCGCCGCCGCCGCACCTTGCCTCTCCCCGATCGCTGGGCCCGGCACACGAGGAGCGAGCTCCACCGCACGGACCCATACACGCTAATTTCAAATACGGCGGCACCAGGGACACCAGGTCCACCAGGGCTTAGCCCCCAAAGACCCCCAGACCCACCAGGGCCCAACGATTTCGACGACTTCGACGACCCTCGGGACCACTTCCCTGGGGACCTTGACGGCGACGAAGGAGACCCGCTCGGTCTCGGAGGAGCCGCTGGGAACGTCAGTGACGAAGTTACGCGAGCCTCCCACGCTCCGCTCCACGGACACCCCGCACCAGCTGGCCAGGACGGCCACCCTTGGGGACGTTGACACGCACGATGCGTACGATGGGGACGACCAAGACCCCAACGGTCCCCGGGTGGCCGTTTCCATCACCGTGACTTTGACGACCATCCATTCCAGCTATCAGGCCATCTGCCACCAGGCCACATGGCGCCCAAGCGCATAGACCCCCTGCCCCCTGGTCTCGTCCGTGGGAACGTCGATGCTCCAGCGGTACCAGGCCCAGCCCACCCTACCCTCCCAGTAGTTGTAGGACTCTTCTCAAACAGGCCATCAGGCGAGGACGCAAGGAGAGCCAAGGGGTCGCGGACCGTCGCCGCGACGGGACCGTCGCCCAAAGCTGCGGTGCTGGCCAGTCCAACCAGACACCAAGCGCCCCCCCCCCATCGTGCATCCAGCCACCAGGCCCGCGCCCCTCCCCAGAAAGGGACTCGCGGTCTGGGCAGTGACCCTCCCTCCCATCAGGGAGACGGAGACCCCACCAGGGGCAGTCGGTCCCCCCCCGACAGGCGCAGCGCCCTCACCTATTTCAAAGCGGCGCACCACACGGTCGCCCGCGAGACGGATCTCCGAACCAGCAAGAGCGCGCAGCGCGCCTGGTACAGACGCTACATCGCGACCGGGAACAGGTGGGCCCTCACGGCTCAACTTAGCCCAGTCCGTCTGGGACGCCACCAGCGCGGCATTTCCACCGCCTATCGTATGCATATGGCCAACCCCAACATCATGCATGCGGGTTCCGACTGTTCAGCCTCAGTGTTTTTTGCGCTTGTTCCTCTCCATGATCCTCTATTTCTTCCTCCTCCACCTCCTCGTTCTCCTTTGCTGGTGCTGCTCCTCCTCCCTCCAGAAACAGCATGCCAGACAGCAGGATTTGCCGAACACAAGGCAACATAACAGACCACCTGGGGGGGGCGATCGTATACGTATCTACATCTACAGGTCTAGACATCCTGTTTCCGCCCTCCCCTCCCCTTGCCACGCTTCCTTCCTGGACGCAACAAGAGCAGCAAGGACATAGGCAGGATCAGAAGCAGGACTACGAGAAGGAGCGGCAGGACCAGGCAGAGGTCCAGGGCGATCAGCACAATCAGAAGGAAGAGTAGGAGGAGGAAGGCGAAGGCGAGGGTGATGGTGATGGGAGGGGGAGGAGCAGCAGGAGCCACCCCAAAGGCCGCCCGCGGAGCTGCCGCCGCTGACGGCCAGGCTCGGGGAGCCCGAGGGCGAGTGTTCGCCGATGACGGCCAGGCTCCTCGCCTCGCCTTCTTCGCTACGCCGGTGTTCCCCGCGCTTCCTGCTTCGGTCCCTCGGGCCCTCTCGCGTTGCGGCTATTTCTCGCTCGGGCTCCCATCGCCTCGTTCGCCGCGGTCCGGTGCTCGATCTTGGACTTGCGACTTGTCTCCAAGTGTTGCGCTCAGCCGCCTCTGCTGCAGTGGTTATGGACGAAGTCTTCTGAGCTGCGTCTGTTTCACACATTATTCCTCCCTCCCTCCCTCCCTCCCTCCCATCATTCCCTCCTCCACCTCTTCCTCCTCCTCAGCCGTTTCGGTCTCACGCTTTGGGTCGCAATGTACGCGGCCGCGATTCGGGGACGGCGACAGCGCAAGAAGCATGGCGCTCCACCCCGGCCACGGCCCGTTGCGCGCTGAAGGCAGGACATTTCAAGGCGTCGATCCCGAACTCGGCAGCGACGGTCCCAAACACTCCCAGGGAACTTCTCTGGGAGGTAGCCAGCGTGGTCACGGCTGCCCCCTTGCTGCGCTCTGACTGCGCCGCATGCCGCGACCGCAATTTCTCCGTCCAGGGAGGGGAGAGCGGCGCTTGGGGAGGGCGGCGGTATCGAGAGACGGTCGCAGGTCGGGCTGCGCGCCGCTGCCAGGCGGCGGAGCCGGCAGGTGCGCTTGAGAGAGTCCCATGCCCCCTGGTGGACAGCACCTGGACGGATCCGTTGCAGGACGGGAGCGTGGCCATGAAGGGCGAGGCATCCATTCATCCGGCGTGTTACTAGACACCCAGGGCAGTCGAAGTCATCGAATGCAGAACATGACCGCAAGCATGACGCTGGACATCCCCTCTCGTCGACGATGCGTTGTCGGACGCCCCAGGGGTGCAAATTCATCTGTCGCTTGAAAGCTAGAGCACTGACAACAATACGGCGTGGCGCAATCCGTGTTCAGGACGAGCTGAATTCTGAGTTGCCGCGAGTCACAGTTGGGCTTGATCCAAGCATCCAGGCCGATACCCTCACTCCGCCGTTTTTTCCTCCTTCGTTTCTCCTACACCACCTCGTCTTCCTTCTCTATGAACGATGTCGTACCGATCGTGTCAGCAGAGTGGTCTGAGCGTTGTGCTTGATACGACCTCACGAACTATGATGCGTAGAGGTTCCAGAGCTCGTCGGATGGAGCACTGGGTGTTTGAAATTGCGGTTCTCGCGACAACGGTGCCAGCTACATGTGTGGAGGGCGGTTATGTTTCAAACATGGCTCGAATTTAGCACCGACCACACTCACAAATTCCCACCATGGACGCGAATGGATGGCGGTGGTTGGTTTTCAACATGAAGATATTTGCGCGGACCGATATGTTGTGTTCTCTGCGAACAACTACTTGGATGGAGGGTTGTTTTCAGTCCGCGCCTTTGTTAGATATCATAAGAAAATGTTCGGGCCCACATAGCAAACGCCACGTCGGGCCCCACATTCGGGAAACTGGCCCGCAAATGCTGTAGTTTGGCATGTCGCGGGACTGTCAGGAGGAGAGTAAGTTGGGGAAGAATCAGAGAGAGAAGGAGGAGGAGAAGGCGGAGGAGGAAAAGGAGGAGGAGGAAGAGGAGGAGGAGGAGAGGTTGGCGTTCTGATGGTGTTTTGAGGCCCTCTTGACGCTGACTCGTGTTTGTTCATCCCTCCTGGAGTGCCATTGGAACCCTCTTGGGTCGCATTGCGGGCATTCTCGGCCGCCTTAAGACCGTCTTTCCCCGTCGTGGGGCCATGTTGGACCGTCTTACGCCGTATGGGGCCATATTGAGGCCATCTTGGGCCGTCGTGGGGCCATGCCACATGGAGAATTGATTTTGTCATCCCCCCGTGCCCATCTCTGACGCACAGCTATGCGACCGAAGCTGTGTGCTGGCCCGAGAAAAGGCAACGCCCCGCCCGCCGCGCGCGCGCCTTCCCAGGCGCCTTGTCTCGGCCTTCGGGGCCTGCTCTTATTTATCTTGTCAACTGAAGCCCAAAGGACACGTATATATTCATATTGCCAGGGTGATCAGAAGTATATCACCCATGCATAAGTTGAGCCTGAGCAAGAGATTACTACAGGAAAAAATAAAGCAAAACAATAACGATACGAGCATGCTCACAGTTTGCCTATGAAGTGGGCCAAGAAAGATCCCGCATCAATTTGCAAAATACGGGTTGTCCGCCGAAGCTTCTCTATTCGATGGCAGTGGATCTACCAGATGAGGGGCTGTGTTCCAACCATACAAGGATGATGTACGGCCAAAAAATGAACCACGCCGCTAACTGAACTAGATGCCGCCGACGACGTCGGGGAATCGATCCGGCGTCTGCCCCCCCAAGATCTCTCGGAACCTTTCATTTGATGGCGAGCCTCGCCCTGGCACTCCGAAAACCAATGGCACCGCGCGCCCCGACGGAGACGGAGAAGACGAAGGAAACCCCATACCGATAGGTGACCGACCCGATGTCCCCAGTCACCTCTCGGACGACGAGCGCGACGTGGAGTCGAGTTCGTCGGGGGGGGGGCTTCCCTCGCAGGTCAGCGCCCAGACCCATCGGATTTCACGCTGCGATGAGCATCGGCCACAAGATGGCGGAGGTGAGGTCTATGACCGTGCGTCACCGGCTCCTCTGAGCGATCCTCAGCCTCCTGCGCAGGTCCTGCTCACATACGGCTAGGATGCCGCGGTTCCATCTGGCGACCCTTTGGAACGGACTCTGGAGGAAATCAGAGAGGAGGAGTTCGTGGGCGGTCCTACAAGGACGACGAGCAAGCAGAGACGCGAGCGCGTTAGTCTTTCAACAACTTCGCCACTTGGGAAGCGGAGCAGATCCGGGGGCGCCCCCCGGCGCGACCCTGAGTTCGCTCCGGGGGGGGGCCGGGGAGCTACGCCCCCGGGCCCCCGCCGCGCCCTTCCCATGCGAGTCAGAGAGCACCGACGTCGATGTCTGGGACGCCTCACTCACCGACCCGCTCTCCCCGCGAGAGGAGCACCGGGGGGGGCGGACCCGAGGCCCCAAGACCGCGATCTGAGGTATCTGATCTATCCAACCCATCGGGCAGGTCGCGCGCCTTCAGCGCGCGCATGAGCGTCAAGCGCGCCAACTATGGACCGAAGTGCGCTGTCGTGCCAGAATCGCGATGCCTTGGTTTATCGGGTCAGCGCAAGAAGTCTGTCTGATCTGAGCGCCGTGACATATGCGGCCTAACTTCTGGTTAAGTGAGATACGCGCGCACTCAACGGAGGAGGGGGGGGAGAGGAGGGGACGAGAGAGGGACCAGGACAGGGCGATGGTATTTTCATGGCAGCGTGGCGACGCGCCTCTCCGCCGGGCGTGGGCCCTGATGGCCCCACGCTCAACGCGAGCGCGTGGGCCCTGACGGCCCGCGCGCTCGCGCTCTGGCACGCCTGCGGCCGCTCGGCCGACGCAGGCGTCTGGGAGCAAAGCGGGGTGGGTGGGCACCCGCGCGTCGGCCAGAGCCGAACGCTACGGACCCAAAATGGCTACCTGAGCCCACACCCCCTCCCACTTAACCTGCAGTCTACAACCAATCAGACTATACAAGTTAAGTGAGATACGCGTGCACTCAACGGAGGAGGAGGAGGAGAGGAGGGGACGAGAGAGGGACCAGGACAGGGCGATGGTATTTTCATGGCAGCGTGGCGACGCGCATCTCCGCCGGGCGTGGGCCCTGATGGCCCCACGCTCAACGCGAGCGCGTGGGCCCTGACGGCCCGCGCGCTCGCGCTCTGGCACGCCTGCGGCCGCTCGGCCATGAGAAAAGAAAGACGCAGCCGCGCGCGCGGGGACGCCCCGCCCGAGTGCGAGGGCGGAACCAGAGGCTGCAAGAGCCTCGCGCGCGCGGCCACTTGCCTGCAACCTTGAGGCCTTCCGCGCCCGCGCACCCAGAGCGCGGGCGCGGCGCGTGCGCGATGCGCGCAAAAGAACCGAAAGGGGGGGCGGCGCACGAGGCGCCGGGCGCAGAGCGCAAGTGTGGCCCCGACCGCACGGCGCGCAAGACGCGCGGCACGGCCGGGTCCAGGAAGCACGCGACGTGCGCGCAACGTTAAACTCCTCCAAAGAGAGAGGATCGCAGGCGCCACCTGCGTACCGTAGGCTAAAAGAAAGAAGATCGCAGGCGCCACCTGCGTACTAAAAGAAACAAGATCGCAGGCGCCACCTGCGCACCGTAGGCTCAAGGATCGCAGGCGCCACCTGCGCACGGTAGGCTGAGAGGAGGGCCGGCTCACTCACAGGCCGCCGCCTTCAGCCCGCGCCCGCGATGCCGCGGGCGCTGGCGTCGGGGCACGGGGGGAGCTCCACGCCTAGATGGAGGGCGTGTTCCCCCGGCGGTCGCGGCTCTCGTCTCCGCTGCGGTCTCCGCCGCGCTCACTGGGGTCCCGGGGGCTGCCGCCATCGCCGCCCCTCGACGCGCGACCGTCCGCGCTGGGCCAGTCACGCTCACTCCGGCCGCGGCTGCCCTGGTCGCCCTTGGAGTGGCCGCCCTTGCCGCTCTTGTCGCCCTTGCCGCCGCTCTTGGAGCCCTTGGCGGCCTTGCCGGAGTACTTGCCCTTGACCTTGCCGCCCTTGCCGCCCTTGTCGCCCGCGCCCTTGCCACGCCAGGCTGGGATCCCACCCCCGCCCGCGGCAGCCTCCGCGGCGGCAGCACGCCGCCGCTTTTTCTCCTGCTCGTACCAGCCGCCGCGAGGAGCGCGAAGCTGCCCAGCGTGCTTCCCGGTCTTACGCCGCGTGCGGCCGGGAGGGGTGTCGCCGCGCCGCGCCCACGCTGGGTCCCGCGCCAGACTGTGGCTGGGCGACCTCTCGCGCTTGGGCCGGTTGCGGCTGGGCGACCTCTCACGCTTGGGCCAGCTGAGGTCGCCCGGCGGGCGGTCCCCCTCAGCCCCCGCACCCGTGGCACCCGTGCTGGGGCGCTCTCCATGGCCGGCACTGGGGCCCGGCGCCTCCCGCACGGTGTGGCCGCTCCGCCGGGCCTTCTCCACCACC